GATTTGGTGGCCACCTTTTCGATGACGGCCACCGCCGCTTTCGCCCTCTCCTGCACGGACACGGGAGCCTGGGGGGCATTTCCCCCCACCGGCTCCCGAACCTTGAGCAGGAGATCCGCGATCTCCTCCTCCGCTACGGCCTCGCCGTCCACCCGTACGCTCCTGTACGACTCCGCGTTGGAGAACGCGGAGCCTGACGGGATCGCGACCGAGGCCGGTTTGCGCGCCCTCCCTCGGCGGCTGCTGGCCACCTTTGGTGGCAATCATTTCGCCGGACGTGTCGGTTTCCACGTCCCCTGAGCGTCCGCGTTTCCGGCTGTCGCTCCGCTCCGCTTCCATGGCCTCCGCGCCATCCGATGAAGCGGCGGATCCGGAACGCAGCCGATCCGATGCTCTTCGGCTCCCAGTGACCAGAGTCAGACTGACCTCTGGGAGCCCCATCGAGATAGGCGTTCCCGACACCATCTCGCCCTCAGTGGACGACCCATCCGCTCCACTGTTCTGCTTTTCCTTCCTTCGCTGTGCTTCCTTTTCCGTTAGGCTTGCCTTTTCGTTGGTTGTTTGGTTCCGATCGTCTTTTTGGTTTTTGCAAATTATCCATAGTAAATCCACGAGTGGGGGAGAACTAAGAGGTCCACCCGGGCAGAGATCCCCCATTACCCGGGCAAGCGTAAGTTTTTAACCCAACCGAGGGGTCCGCAGGTACCTCGGCTTGGAGTGCGCTCGCGACTGAACTTCCCATCAGCCATGCATCCCCTGGCCACGCACCAGAACACGGGATTCGGGGAATTTTTTAGAGAGGTTATCTTCCTCGCGGTCCGGGCGGTTAAGCCAAGACCCTCGCCCCCGATCAGAGCCGCGAGACTTAACCACAGCGCTCTTCTCGGGATTACGATATGCCGACGGTTGACAGGGAGACTACGTCCCCCTGCCTGCTCGGTGGTAGTGTGAGTACACGCCGAGCCCGTCCTCCTTTCTCCACCGCTATCAGCGGAGAAAACTGTGGCCCCTACAGGGCCCCGCCATCAGGTTTTTTACCGAGGTTTCCTCCTCCATGCTCCGAAGAGCGAAGAGCCAGCAGGGCAACCGGCAGACACGCCCACCCTGCTGGACCAGGCCTTGCCCGAGAGCCGATGAACGGCTGCCTCTTCTGCTAGAATATTGGCCGCTGGCGATAATCCTCTCCTCCAAGAGGACAAGGAGGGAACAGTACCATCGCCAGCGTTTCCAGGGTGCACCACGAGGAGGTTTTCTAGCCCAGCACCCCAGATTGAAGATATCCTATCCCAACCCGACGCTGAGGTGTTTTTTAAAGATTTAATTATTTTTCTAATCTCATCCTCGTCAGTAGGTAACATTATCATTGAATTTAGTGGGCTATGTTTATACCTGAAATTACTAGCTAAGTCATTTTCATTTTCATTTAATCTTGATAATATGTCATTAGCAAGTGACTTGCCCACATAGGTAAAATATCAAACCGAGACTATCCCGGGGAAGCTGCGGGTTTCCCCGCCTATCGTTATAGTACGAGTATGTTGCGGCCCGATCGCATTTATTTACGTGATTATTTATGAGCGTAGACGACGCTATCACTTCGTCCAAACCCGGAGCTCGCGGAGTATGCAGTGTACCCCTCTAAAGTGGGCAAGTTACCCACTCCGCGAAGCCAACATTCAGTCAGAACGATGACGTCAAATTTTAAGTCAGTCATTGTTAATAATACTCGGAGCTGGTCAACATTTTTTTTAATGCTACGGATGTTAATATGAAACAGCCTGATAGCATGGTTCACATAAGGAAGGAATAGTAGGCAGTCCTCTGGTCGGCACTCATAAGAGTTTGTGAGTTCAAGTGAGTCTAGTTCTGTGTTGATATTGTTTATGTTGGCCATTGATTATAGAAGTAGATGTCAGGTGATGCCATACAGCGCGTTAATGGGGTGTATGGATGTAGTAGTGAGTGAGTGATTAGAGTTGTGCTTGTATAGTATGTAGGTGCGGGAGGTGTGATATGTGTGATTTGGATGTGTGTTGGTAAGTGTCATTGATTTGATCCTTTAAAATTAATTTGATAAAAAAAAATTACAAAACAATCTTACAATTGTTTTTTAAAGATTTGTGCTGATGACAGACATGGATATTGACACGGTATTTAAAAAGAGAAAGTAACAGTATAGAAAAGTTAATAATGTACCATAAGTTAGTCACAAGTTTTTCTTCAAGTCCAAGAAACATTGTTCCGAAGAAATCAGGATTTTCTTGTCGCCTTGTTCTTTACGAAGAAAGATTTTACCGTTTGAAGTCCAGCAGTATTTAAATTTGTTTAGTTTGGCGAATTCTTGGGCTGCATGAGAAAGTTTCTAGGAGCTCATAGGAAGATAGTCGTCGTTTTCCTGGGATGTTTATCAATTCTGTGTTGAGCTTATCTTCCACGGTTTTCTTTTTAATGTTAAATTCGCGAACTGCTGCCAGAGTGTTCGACTTCATTTGGACGGTCTGGAATTCCACAACAATCGGGCGAATCGAGCCATCCTTACCTGGTAAATGATATATATCTCTTAACTCCTTTATAGAAATTGGAATTCCGACAGCCTGACCAATGTTACTAACAGTGTTAGTGAGATCTGCGTGGCCAGTTTCCGAAATTATTGAAGACTGGGAAACTGGTCCTCATCCGAAAGGAGGGGCGCCCGGCGGACTCACCGTCCGCCTACCGGTCCATTGTGTTGCTTGACGAGGTGTGCAAACTCTTCGAAAGGGTGATTGCATGGCGCCTCGTCAAGCATCTTGTCATAGTGGGGCCGGATCTGGCGGACAACCAGTACGGTTTCCGTCAGGGGCGGTCCACCGTGGATGCGATCATGCGCGTGAAGGCTCTGGTGGAGAAAGCGGTTTCCCGGGGCGAAGTGATGTTGTCGGTGTCCTTGGACATTGCCAATGCGTTCAACACTTTGCCCTGGAGTTGCATCAGGGAGGCGCTCGTGTATCACGAAGTGCCTCTCTACCTCCGCGCATAGTCGGGGCATATTTGTCGGAGAGAGCCGTCGCCTACCCAAGTAGGACCGGTCTCGGTACACGTGAAATGTCGTACGGTGTTCCGCATGGGTCGGTGTGACAGGGCCACTCTTGTGGAATATCGGCTACGACTTGCTACGCGGACGACACAGTCGTGACGGCGCGCGGCAAGACGCCGGGGTTGCTCAAGTCGTGGAGCGGATCCAGCGGCTGGGTCTTAAGGTAGCTCTGCACAAATCTGAGGCCTTGTTCTTTCATGGGCCTCGGAGGAGGCCACCTGAGGGATTCAGCCTCATGGTAGGAGGCACTCGCATCGGTATCGAGCCCTCGATGAAGTATCTGGGGCTCGTACTCGATGGCCGATGGGACTTCGGACATCATTTCCGAGGTCTGGTCCCCAAGTTAATTGGGGCAGCGCGTGCATTGGCGCGGCTGCTGCCCAACATTAGCGGACCCGATGACTCCTGAATGACTCTACTCGGGGTTGTGCGGTCCATGGCCCTTTATGGGGCCTCAGTATGGGCGGAGGCCCTAAAGGCCAGCAACGTCGCACTACTGCGACGACCGCAACGAGTACTGGCCATCAGAGTCATAAGAGGGTACCGCACAATCTCCTTTGAGGCGGCGAGTCTCCTAGCCGGAACTTAACCATGAGACCTGAAGGCGAGAGCCCTTGCGGCTCTGTATCAGTGGCGAAAGGAGGCGCGGGAGCTGGGACGGAGTCCTGAGTCTCGAGAAATCGAGGATCAGAAATCCCAGCTTCGCCAGGTCCTCGTGGAGGAGTGGAAGGAACGACTTGGGCAACCGAGCGCTGGGCACGCTGTTATAGCGGTGGTAAGACCCGTTATGCTTCCATAACGGGTCTTACCACCGCACTATTGGCTCGAGATGCATCACGGAACCCTCTCATACCGGTTGACGCAGGGGATCACTGGGAAAGGATGCTTCGGGGATCACCTGTGTCTGATCCGCAAGGAGCCAACGCCTGGGTGCCACCACTGCGATGGCCGGACCGTGGACACGGCGCTCCACACTCTAGCAGAACGCCTGGCGTGGGTGGAGCAGAGGCGTGACCTCGTGGCGGCCCTCGGGATGGCAGGTCTCTCGCTCGGTAACATGATTGCGGCCATGGTGCGGAGTGAGAATGCGTGGAACTCCGCCGTCTCCTTCTTCGAGCAGGTTATGCTTGCGAAGGAGATGGAGGAGCGAGATCGGGAGAGGTTCAGAACCCTCCCGGCTCGCCAGGCCCGAGAACATGCCAGGTACCGCAGACGGCTCGGGCGTCGGAGGTCGCAGAGCGACCTCCATCCTCCATAAGTGCAGGCCTGTGGGTGACAGGTGAGGCCATCTGTCACTCTAGCAGAAGCAGGCCGAGGTGGCTGATGGCGCTACGCGCTACGGAGCGCGCGGGCCCTTCGGGTCAGGAAGGGAACATCTGGGTTCCCACACAGGAGGCGTCATCTATAAGCCGTAGTTGGCCCGAGGTACGTCGGGGTACTAGGGCTTTTCTTTCTAGGGTATACCTGGTTCCCCGGCTACTGGTACGCGCTACGGGCGGTGTGTTTGTGACGCGCTGTGCCAGTGACTTTAGAACGGTGTAGTGCGTGTGCGTTATTGACTACACATAAACAAGCATGTCAAAATGCAAAGGATGCGGTAAATACATAGCACAAAAAGACATTACTAAATGTTCTAATGTCAGAACTATTACCATCGCACATGTGCGCTCGCGGCTACACCAGGGGTTAAATCTGTCTCGCCAAAATGGATTTGCGCGGGCTGCAATGTTGTCTTAGCAACCCCGCCAGCTGTGGCGGAGGCATGTGTGTCACCGCAGCCGAGTAATTCACACGGCGCCCCGACAAGTAACAACTTGCCTAAGGATTGCAACCAGTGGATGTAAGCTTAATACTTAAAGAGATTCGTATCTTTCGTGAAGAGATTAATGTTTTGATATCGGAATTGCGTGAGTTTAGAGAAGAGATGTTAAGCCTTCAAGCAGAGAATAAGATGTGCAACGATAGAGTGGATTTACTGGAGAAGAGAGTTGGTGCCTTAGAGGAGAAATCGGATCAACATTTGTATCCCGACCTCACAACATTAGAGACAACCGTACGCGATTTAAACTAAAACTGAATGAGCGTGAACAGGAATCCTTGTTAAATGACATAGAGGTTTCTGGGGTACCCGAATCGAATGGTGAAAACGCAAAGCAAATTATAAATATGATTTCCATCAAACTCGGCATTAAGTTGGAAGAACAGGACGTGGTATACGCCAAACGGGCAGGAAACGGACGTAGTAATTATGAGGAAAGCGAAGAAAAGGCGCCTCGGCCGCGCGTCATTGTCGTCCGCCTTACACGACGTGAAACGCGCGAAGAGCTTCTGCGCAGCGCTCGGGTACGACGTGGCTTGACCACGAAGGATATACAGTTAGCTGGGACTTCACGCCGAGTTTATATAAACGAGCGTTTAACGCAAGTTAATAGAAAACTATTTCACAAGGCTCGAGAGGCTGCTATGCACCATAACTATAGGTACACCTGGACCAAAGAGGGCTGTATATTAACTCGGAAAGAAGACGGAAAACCCGCTAAACGTATACGATCCGAGTATGATATTTTTCAGATTTTTGGATGACCTACAATTTGTGCCGAGTTAATTTAATTAAGATAGTTGAGTGTCAAATGTTATATAGGTATGTTGATATTATTTTAATTTTTATATTGGAAACTGATTACTGCTTATACACACTATCAAGAACTTTACATTATAGCTTATATATATATATATATTTGTAAAATACTCATCTTCTACTATGTTTATTTACTATCTTGTTTTATCTTTTTAATTTATGAACGTGCTTGTTTATGTGGATTACGTGAAATAGTTCCTAGGCTTATGTTATCTATCCTATTTAAACATAAAAGCGCAGCACAAGGGTGTCCTCTGTACATGAATAGTTTTCCTGATCTGTTCAAGTTAATAAAAACAACTATATTTTTCTATAGTCGTAGATCAAATCTATCTAGCATATTATATTTATATTTGTGTAATAGACATGCATTGTTACAAATCGCGCTTGGCCTATATCATGTATGCACTGTATTATATCCGAATGTACTCACCCGCTAATAAAAACTGTTGGACATATAATATCAAGATTTTAACAATTACAGTAATAGTGATGTCTTTGCATGTTTTTGATGGCTCCTTAGTATCTAAGAGTTGGTCATTTTAATGCGGGTTCATTGGGTACAAGACATGAGGAGCTTAGGAGAGACATAAAATAGATTTTATTTCTATCAACGAGACGTGGTTGAGAGAGGGTGAGGAGGGGAAAGCACCCGCATTGCCTGGTTACATTTTGAAGCACATCCCCCGTTCGGCAACAGTCAAGCGTGGTAGAGGCGGTGGAATCGGCTTTTATATCAAGCGGGAAGTTACTGCTCGCAGACACTCACACCCCGTAGACTCATTACACTCCTCAGTGGAGCAAATGTGGTTTACTACCAGCGTGAATGGAATTAAACTAGCTATAGGAACTGCATACCGACCTCCCTGGCTGGATGTAGACCTGTTTCTGGACGCTCTCACGTTTTCTGTGAACTCTCTAGCTCATTGCGACGGAATGGTACTGATGGGTGATTTTAATATTAACATGTTAAATGAATCCGATGCTAAGACCGACAAACTGAAAACATTCTTAAGCTATCTAAGTTTAAAACAAATAATAGATACACCTACGCATTTCACACCTAATAGCAAGACACTGATAGATATTGTTTGCACTGATGTAGAGGTTCAGTCGTTTTCGGTGGAGTACATTCACGACCTTGGGGCCCACGCATTCTTGATCTGCGATCTCCATATAAAAATGGATAAAGCAGCGCCACAAACTATATCGTTTCGCCCATTAAAAAGCATATGTAGGAAAAACTTTGACGAGGACACCTCGCGTCTTGATTGGCACAGTATAACAAGACTGTCAAGCGTGAATGAAATGGTGACATGTTTCAATGCTAATATCAATACTTTATTTGACTATCATGCACCCAAAACTACAAGAAAAATCAAGGAGCGGTCGCATCCATGGGTTACTGACAATATAAAATATATGATGGTTTTAAGAAACAATGCACATAATCAATTTTTAAAACATAAAACGGAGAGTAAAAAACAATATTATAAACAACTTAAATCACTTGTAAAAGAATCGCTGCATAATGAAAAAATAGCCTACTACAAAAACAATGTAACAATAAAAGCGTGTTAAAAAAAAATGACCCTAGGACTTTATGGAAAAGCTTGAAATTAACTTTAGTACCACCAAAAAGCAACATGTACCTACCGTCACACTTTAATGACCCAGATAAAATATGCGACTTCTTCATGAATGTCCCGGGGAAGGAAGTAGTTAATATATCTGACCTTATGTCCTACGAGTATTCGCGCTTTAGTGAAGCAACATTTACACTGGAATCGGTTCCATGAACTTCGGTCGCTAAAACCCTCCAAGGATTAGTTTAGATATGGTGCTCCTCACTATGCCACTGGCGATAGAGGCTGTTACTAGCATCGTCAATAAATCTATTCAAACATCTTCTTATCCGGAACTGTGGAAAACCGCTGTAATACGCCCACTACCAAAAAATAGCTCACCAACGGATATAAAAGATTTGCGACCGATTAGTATGCTTCCCGTTCTTTCAAAGGTGTTGGAGAAAATCGTTAGTTCCCAGCTCGTAAAGTATTAAGAGAAAAATAACATTCTCCCTGATACGCAATCGGGTTTTAGAAAAGCTCGTAGAATAACCACTACCTTATTGGCAGTGACGGACGATATCCTGTCAGCACAGGACACCGGCATGTGTACGCTGCTGGTGTTATTGGACTACTCTCACGCCTTTGACTCCATCAATGTTCCACTGCTGCTGTCGAAGATGGCTTACTACGGCTTTGATGGGGGAGCTATTAAATGGTTTGATAGCTATTTAGGTGGTCACTCTCAATATATTGAGATCAAGCAAATAAATGGAAACACAATATGCTCTAGCTCGAGATCTGTAACTAGAGGCGTGCCCCAGGGATCAATATTGGGACCTATTTTATTTATTATGTACTGTTCCGATGTGGGTCGGCAGCTGCGTCATTGCAAGTACCATATGTATGCAGATGATACACAGGTCTATATATCGTTCAAGCCCCCGGACTACGAAACAGCACTTCAAAAATTAAACGAAGATCTAAATAGAATTGTCGATTGGTCTGCTCGCAATTCTCTTGTGCTCACTCCTCTGAAAACAAAATATATGCTGTTTGGCACCAAATCCCAGCTAGGTGCCATCCCACGTAAAACACGTCCTGTTGAAGTAATGGGCGTGCCGATTGAGCGAGTTTATGAAGTTCGTAACTTGGGGATAATAATGGACGCTGACTTGAGGTTTGAGAACCACATCTCGAGAGCTGTTCGTGACTGTTTTTATAAACTAAAGGTCTTGTACAGGGCGCGGCCATTTATAGGTGAAGAGCTGCGAATACTTTTGGTGGAGAGCCTCGTCTTACCTCGACTAAACTATGCAGACACTGTATACGGTCCTCGACTCTTTTCTAGAACAGAACGCCTGATACAAAGACTTCAAAACGCTTGTGCCAGGTTCTGTTTTACCGTACCCAAAAGGGGTCATGTCACCCCTTTTTTTAATAAGCGCAACATTTTAAAAATGCATGCGCGTCGAAGGCTTCATATGGCAAGGCTCCTATTTGGCGTAATTAACTTCCGTACACCGTCCTATTTATTTAACAAGTTAAAGTGGACATTTAGGCACAACCAAAATATGAGTAGAGAATGCTCATCGCAGCTTTCAATACCTCATCATAGGACAACTGCCTTTAAGGGTAGTTTTCGTTACTCTGCGTCGAAATGCTGGAATAATATCCCTCCTCCCATAAAAAGAAGACCAAGTGCGTATTCTTTCAAAACGAAATTGAAGGAATTTTTACTGGAGCATCAGAAGGATTTCGAAGACGTCAGAGTAACTCTTAGCGTGGTATAAAATGGAGTGCGTACCATGACCTTGGATACCGTGCTGTGCCGTATCTCACCTTATTTTATTAATAACTAGAAATTATTATATCTTTACTATCATGGTCATTATGTCTTAATTCAATCAAATTGTTATCCAATTAGTCACTCATTATATATTTAAATGTTTTCCTATTAATTAAGTTATTATGCAATCACTATCGTTCTCGGAATATTCTCAGACCAATATTTCTTTATAGCATGCTATACTAGACTATCATAATGATCGAATATTTATTCTATCTAACAGACACGCGGACAACACCCTTGGGCTGCGCTGAAAACCAGCGCTAGGTGCATTGCGCCTAGCATGCTGAGTCGTGGTCCATATTGGTACAGATGTATTTTATACATGTCTCTGTTTGTTTGCTGATTGTTACATATTTATATGTAACAATCCCGTAAAATGTGCCAATTAAAGTATTTTTCTTTCTTTCTTCTTTCTTTGGTACCTGGAGACGTCGTGCGGTTTTTGGTCGGTTCGAGTCCGGCATAATCACCCACTGGTGGGTGGTTCCGCACAGAAAAAAAAAAGTGTTAGTGAGATCTTCACTGTGTTCTTTATCTTTCGGAGGGACATTTCTTACTTCAATGCTAGATGATCGAGATTTGAATTGTAGATCTTGCATTTTTCTTTCTTATTTCTCCAAGCACTTCCGTTGTTCTAGCCTTTCTTTTTGCAGGCAGTTTAGACCAGATTTTATTTCCTCGTACTGCTTGTTAATAAAGGACATTGAGGCCACTATTTCGTCGTTTGAATCCTTAATTTTAAAGGTTTGTGTTTTCAGCTCCGAAATTTCGGTGGAGATTTTAGCAATAAGCGAGTTTTGTCTGGCACACATGTGATTTCCAACCATTCAACAGCGCCACCATTTCTTGCTTGAGATCGTGGTCTTCTTCTCCAGGCGATTGGGTATGGCGTGGGCGCTTGTTTCGGTTTATATTTACAAAGGAGGCGGCGCTAAGTTGTAAGGAATTCAAAACCGATTCTGACTGCGTATGGCCTATAGTAGATGTGATAGGTGTTTTAGGGGGTGTTCGTTGGAGCGACATTTTAATCACAAACTGTGCCGTAGATTAATGTAGATGGTAATTAAAACGTAGTTTTAAACAGCACACTAATAAAGGGCCCTGGTACAAAATGCATATAAAACAATATTAATATTTTGTTGCAAAAGCACACTAATAAATGCCCACTCCGAGACTTGATAGTGGTTATGTCGCGTCCAAAAGGGCGTAAGTGCGCGGTATAGCGCGGCTCTTAAGTGTTCGCCTCAATTGTGTTTTAGAACATGGTATAATGGGTATGCAAACA